TTCTGTTAGGCAGTGTTCCATTCCTTTTGTGCGGATGCTGATTCACTTCAGCCCTGGAAAACCCCAATATTCGATGACACACTTCGCTGTTTCGAGACTTGATGATTTCTCACGGAAGTTTCTCAAAAGGAAGGCTGTCTATTTGCTTGAAATGTTCTGTAGTAAGGTACTGTACTTTACTTCGAAATGGATGAACGAGGACTTCGGGAAATTATTTTCGCTAGCATCTAATGTGTTTTTTTCTGCGGCTTTTTTTTATGATATACAGTTCTGACCGTAATACTTTAATTTGTTAGTGGGTCTTACGATGTACATTTCCCTCCAATGCCAAGTTTTTTCGTTGAGTGTTTCTGGGAATTTTCCTTCGTCTTGGCACTCAGAAAATAATTCCTTTGATTGTTACTGTACTGCAGATTATTTGTTAAAACTCTTTCTGAGAATCAATTTGTAAATAGTCAAAAAATTTTCCTGTTATTCATGTTAACATGTCTCCTTTGCAAGATGATTCACTGAATACAATTTTGATTGACTATGCCAACTCTTGTACTTCACAAGGAAAGTTCATCTGTAACCATCAATTTTAGAATTGATTAAAAGTTGTTCTCAACAATTGATAGTGCATAAGATTTTGAATTTAATGTGAAACTTACAATTTCATACCTCTTGGCTCACTGCTCTCTCTCTTTCTTCATGTATCTGCTTCTGTGCAGCAATATGTTACTCTTAGAGTAATGTTTTTGCTGTTGTTTCTCTTACTGTGTAAATTAACCAAATAAATTTATTTTCCAGGATGCTGTATTTTTCCCTGAGTCACTATATCAATTTTCACACTGCTCCTGTAAATCAGTAGTGGTCCACATTGGAAGTACTGTAGATATGAAGTAGCTTCTTGAGAAGCCTGATTTGTTTCATTGCAGTACTTTGGAGCAGATAGGGTATCCAGCCACACATGAGAACTTATTGAAATACTGTATTCTAAATTGTTTGTGGTAGAAATTTTCAACTGATTGTGAAATGTCAAAGGTTTATGCGCATTCATTGCCTTGGGATACTTCTAATGAAAATTGATTGCCTGGTCCTGAAAGTAATGTTTTATTTCCAGGTAATTCTCCATTTTATTCAAAATTAATTTATGACTCTACAACTGTGAATCCGATTATTTTTGAAGAATGGTAACGCTGTACCTGTGTATTTTTACGCAGGTAATGTTTTCCCTGTTTTTTTGTACTGCTCTTTCGCAATTCGTGTTCGTACTGTTCCTCGGGGGAATGAAGTATTGTACTGTACATGTGTAGTAGCTTTGGGAGCTGCCCAAGGCAGGATATGTGTCCCATTAAATCGGAATGATTGGACGCGGAGGGAGAACTTGACTAGCGGCTCTCAATTGCCGTCTGGTGTCGGGCGGAGAGGGAGGGAGTGAAGTTCTCAGGCGGTATCCCGAGAGGGAAAGGTGATCGGCCGCTATGGGCGAATGACTCAACGCACGGGGGCCGACGTGGAGCCCAGACCCCAAGCGTTGCCAAGTGTCTCAATCGCAGTCCTCATGTGCTGCACGATACGAGTACGGGAACGCTGTTGGCATGTTTGAAATAGTGTACGCCAGCGCAGTACGACAGTCTGCTTTTGCGCGCGCGCCCCAGTTATTTTCCTTGCCTTTTCCTTCTCACTCACTCGCCTCGCAACATTTCCCTTGGCGAGACTTGCTGTAAATTGCGAGAGGTGACTTTTGAAGGCACTCATGCGTGTGTGGGTTTGACCGCGTTCTTTTTTTTTTCTCCTGGTTGTGCTGTGGAGTTTTGCAAGCGTGCTTTTTCTTACGCCAGTAGGCCAATTTTTTGTACGGGAACGAAGTACAGTACGTTTGAACCGAAACTGAGCTCAGTTTAACGTACGGTGCAGTACCTCGGGCGATGAACGCTTCGCAAAATGGATTTTCCTCGCGACAATAAATTCGGGCTTGCGGATGATTTTTGATTCGGATTTCGGACAGTGGCTTTTTCGTGAAAGTGGAAGTTTATATTGGAAACATGGCTGTCGATTACCATTTGCTTCGTTTCCATTGGATTGGATGTCTTCGAGTGTTCTCGAGTGATTTTGACTGCGTGTTCTAGTGCCATTGCATGACGATGAACACGTTTGAGTAACACTGTTTATTTGAGAAAATGTGAAGAAATGTCGCACTTTGGATCTGAGATGGCCAATTAGTTTCAAATTATTGTCCTATGATTTGATACACATTTACGAGTGCCTTTTTTCATCATTTTATTTACGTATGTTGAAGTCCAGAGGTTCTAAATTTGCTCTCCGCGGAGCCCTCGTGAACTTCGTTGGGGCTCCGCGGATGCGCAAGGAATGTAATATGAAATTTATGGGATGTTTGACTTGTAAGAAACTTGTTTTTGTTTGGAAATGTTTGTTTGATACCTTATTCAGTCGGTTTTATGTTGTGGTCTATGAAGAAAAGCTTTGATGCAGCTGAGGCACATTACATTTTATGATGAAAACGTGTAATAACGTTAATCCATCCTGAATCAATTTTGAACCTTGGGTTGATGGCAAATTCAGTTTATTCTAGGTTTTTTAGGTGTTGGTTTAGTTTGGTTTGTTCAATCAAACATTTTTGTGTGCTTACGATTACCGCATTCACTCGGGTTTCGGTCACTTTTTCCCGCGAGAAAATTACGCTGAAATTACTGATGCGTCCTCAAATATTTGTGTGTCTATCCATTGGATGCATTCTCTTATCGCCGAAGTGTTCATTTTTTTCGATTTGCTTAAATTTTTCCAAAAATAGCAATGCCGCCTTTTCGACGTTGTGGCTCAAGCCTTTTCAAAATGTCTTCTCGTGGAGCTCTGTGTAATTGAGTGGAAAAATTCTGTCTTAGAAGTGTAGCTTTCATCCCGCGATTGGGGATTTGTTCATGCTCGGAGGAATTCTTCGAGAACATACATTTAACGAATCTCGGAATATCCTTCATCAATTTTAGTTTTTAATATCAAATTTTCGCGAATGATGAAAACGCTGTATCGAGGTTTTAAACTCTAAAGGGTTGCAATTAATGGATTCGCTTTAAAAGCGTATTGTTGAGTGACGGAAATTACGAGGTTATTAATTCAATTTTGTCTCTTTTGAACGAGATTCTACTGATATTGTATTTCGAATTTAGTGTTATTTCGTAGTTTTTCTCAAATTGCGATAAAATACTGCATCTGAACAGTGAAGCGATCAGAATTGAGAAAAACTCTTCTGTATAGCTAATAAATGATTTATGCAGTTATTCGAATTCAATTTTGACAATTGGCCAGAGGTGAGAAGAAAATAATTTGTTGTAAGCGAGAAATCGTTTGATGGCATTCGTTGAAAGGACACTCGGTTGTATCAAGGATTCCGCATTTTCATATCGTTTTAAAATATTTCATACTTTCCTTTGTCAAATGAGCTGAAGTTGGATGGGAAAGGGGAAAAAATGTGTTCCCTTTCAAGCAAATGAAAAAATAATTATTTTCAGCGTTTTGTGTGAACTTGTCGATTTTCCCGTCTGAATGTGTTTCACTGAGTGTGACGTGAAATCGCGTGATGTGTCGTATGAATGTGGTATTGATTCGTGGTTCTGCTCCGAGTATTGTTCTCTAAAATCAGTGATTCCGTGTTAATTTTTTTTGCTGATGAATTCTTTTTGCTTTCACTCTAATTACCAAGTTAGAAGTGTCAGAAGTGTGAAAATTATTTTTTTCTTTAAAGTGCTCTCCTGTGCCGAAGAATGACGTGTTTATTTCGATACACAGTATTTTTAAAATTGTGTCGCTGGAGTTTTCTGGTTGTTTTTTTTATGAAGCAAAACCGAGGCATGAAACAGACACCATGGATTTTAGTTTTCAGTCGATATTTTGCCCTTAAAACTAATACAGTACCAAGGATTTTAGGTTCTGCTTTCACTTCGGTTAACGTTTGAAGAGTGATAATTATTATAAAGTCTCCTTCCGCCGAAAATGTTTTCATTTCGTATTTTGAAATTGCGTCAATGCAGTTTTACATCGTAAAAACGAAGTCATTTTATGCACCAACTGAATTGTAATTTTCAGTCGTGCATTTTTTTTGCCAGGCAGTACCAAGAGTTTTAGATTCCCGAATTGCAAATAAATTCTTCCTACTTTCACTTCAGTCACCATTGGCAGTCCAAGTGTGACAGAAGCAAAGGTTTTTCTTTCATAAGGAAGGAAATCTTTATTTTCCTTTTATGTCAAACTGTTCCGATATTTTTTTACGGTGAAGAACGAAGAAATGGAATTGATTTCATGTATTCGACGTTTAGTCGTGGGTTTTGCCCTGAAAAGCACTACAGAAATGAGAGTTCTATGGCAAATACCGTACATGAAGTACTGTACTTTCAATTATTCATACGTATATTAAATTTATTTATTTTTGGCAGCCAAGAAGTTGTATAAACAAGATGAGTTTTTGTAACTCTTCCTAAAAACATAGATATCTTCATTTCTCAATGCAGCAATGCACTTTAAATGTGTGTCAGTGAAACGTTTCTTACTACAGTGAAATCTCGTTATAATGAAGCATTCGGGACCTTTAAAAAGCTTCGTTATAAATAAAAATTCGTTGTAACGAAATTCAAATTCAGGTATTTTAATTTCGTTACAACGAATTTTTATTTATAACGAAGCTTTTTAAAGGTCCCGAATGCTTCATTGTAACGAGATTTCACTGTAGTAAGAAACGTTTGATTGACACACATTTAAAGTGCATTACTGTTGGTTATTGGATAGAGACCAGACAAAGAAAAAAATTCGCTGTAAGCATCAATTCGTTATAACGAGGTTCGTTGGGATGACATTCCACTGTATTTCTTCCTCAAGAAGCAAAACGAGTGCATTTCACGCAATTTCTCGATGGTTTTTTTTTTTACCCTGAAAAATAATTTCCGGAATTTTTATTATTTTTTGGCATTCTTGTATTATTGAAAATGCATTCGTGTTGATTTTGTCTCAGTTACCGTTGGCAGCCAAAGTGTGATAGAAACCAAAACGCAGAAAAAAGTGTTCCCTTTGACAAAAACCAAAAAATTTGAAAGCATGGCTCGCAAAGAAAGCGAGGGTTCTTTCGACGACGACTCCTCCTTCCACGAGGACCCGATCCCGGGTCTCATCACGGGCCACGACGACAACTGCTACGAAATCAACCTCGTCACTGCGGGTGGTCGCACGATTGCCAAACGCGACGACGACGACGACGACGGAGAAGAAGACGAAGACGGAGAAGAAGACTGTGTCAATTTCTCGACGTGCGACCTATTGGACATGTCGTCGTTGTGGGACGAGTTGGAGGCATTGGGCGTGAGGACTGCGGACATTGACGAGTTTATGTGTCGGTTCGGGGCGTGCGAGTCGTCGGACTCTGGCGTGGAGTCGGATTGTTACGTGGCGTGTTATGGGGATGATGACGGCGGATTGCCCGAGAGGAAGGAGTTGTACGAGGCGTTGAAGAGAGGCAGGCTGGTGATGGTTGGCAAGAATAATAATAACAACAACAACAACGGCAAGGACCCGAGTTTGTTGGCGTTTATTGAGGCCAAAGTGAGGAGGATTCGGGCCTGGAGGGCTTCCTTGAGAAAAGGTGGCCACTTTTTGTGTGTGTGTGCGTGCGTGGAATGGGAAGAGGGTGTTATTTTTTCAAGTGAAAAAGGGTTCAGATGTTTTGGGGGGATCCTGTACAGAATGGTGTCCTCGCAGCGCGATTTTACTCTCTTGATTCACAGATGTCGCCTTAATCTGTTGTAAGTTGTAATGTCAAGGTTCTGGTAAAATACTTACAGTATGCCAAGGAAAAATATGAATTGAGTCTTTTTCGTCTATTGAGGCCAAAGTGAGGAGGATTCAGGACTAGAGAGCTTCTTCAAGAAAAGGTGGCCACTTTTTTGTGTGTGTGTGCGTGGAATGAGGGTTTTTTTTCAAGTGAAAAAGGGTTCAGATGTGTGGGGGATACTGTACAGAATGGTGTCCTCACAGCGTGATTTTACTCTGTGGATTCATAGATGTCGCTTGAATCTGTTGTTGGTTGTAATGTCGAGGTTTATTGTAGAGCAGGTTCCTTTTGGGATGTGGAGAACATCTGATATGCTTGCAGATTCAAGATTGATGGGGAATTGCAAAATCTGGTAAAATTATTAATTACAGTATGCCAAGGAAAAATATGAATTGAGATTTTATTTTATTGTGGCCAAAGTGAGGAGGATTCCAAGAGCTTCCTTGAGAAAAGGTGGCTTCTTTTTGAGTGGAATGGAGGGTGTTTTTTTTTCTAAATCAGAAAGGGGTGTTGAAAAGGGTTCAGGGGAAGTTAGGGGGATAATGTACAGAATTGTGTCATCGCAGCGCGATTTTACTCTCTCGATTTATAGGTGTCGCTTGAATCTGTTTTAGGTTGTAATGTCAAGGTTTATTGTAGAGCAGGTCCTTATGGATTCTATTGAACATCTGATTTGCTTGCAGGTACAAGATTCCAGAGTAAATGCGAAATATTTTGTAATTATTAATTAGACTTGGAGAAAATATGAATTGAGGTTTTTGGCATTCATTGGGGTCAAAGTGAGGAGGATTTAGGTCTGGAGAGCTTCCTTGAGAAAAGGTGGCCAATTTTGTGTGTGAGCGCGTGGAATTAGGGTTTTTTTTTTCAAGTGAAAAAGGGTTCAGATGTGTGGGGGATCCTGTACAGGATGGTGTCCTCGCATTGCGATTCTACCAACTGGATTCATAGATGTCGCTTGAATCTGCTATAGGTTGTAATTTCAAGGTTTATCGTAGAGCAGTTTCCTTTTGGGTTGAACATCTGATTTGCTTGCAGATTCAAGATTGATGGGGAATTGCAAAATCTGGTAAAATTATTAATTACAGTATGCCAAGGAAAAATATGAATTGAGATTTTATTTTATTGTGGCAAAAGTGAAGAGGATTCCAAGAGCTTCCTTGAGAAAAGGTGGCCACTTTTGTGTGTGCGCGTGGAATGGGGGCTTTTTCAAGTGAAAAAGAGGTGTTGAAAACGGTTCCAATGTGTGGGAATCCTGTTTTAGAATGGTGTCCTCACAGCGCGATTTTACTGTCTTGGTTCATAGGTGTCGCTTGAATCTGTTGTAGGTTGTAATGTCATGGTTTATTGTAGAGCAGGTCCTTATGGATTCTTTTGAACGTCTGATTTGCTTGCAGCCTCAAGATTTAAGAGTAAATACGAAATCTTTTGTAATTATTAATTAGGCTGAGGAAAATATGAATTGAGATTTTTTGACGTTTCTTGGGGTCAAAGGGAGGAAAATTCAGTCTTGGAGAGCTACATTGAAAAAATGTGGCTTTTTTGAGTGGAATTGATTTTTTTTACGTTTGAAAAAAATTATTTTGAAAAGAGTTCAGGGGATGTGCGGGTGATCCCGTACAGAATGGTGTCCTCGCAGTGCGGTTTTACTATCTTGATTCATAGGTGTCGCTTGAATCTATTTCAGGTTCTATTTGAGTTTTAATGTGGACCAAGTCGTTTTTTATTAGGTTCAGATGATCCTCTGGTTTCTCTGCACATGAAAATTGAAGTAAAATACGAGTTATATCGAAATGAGGCGGGGTAAAATTAATGGAAATTGAAAACGTTCATATTTTGGCCTATTTGAAAATAATTTGGTGTCCGAGATCTTTCTTGAGGAAATGTCGCGAATTTTTTAGTCCTATTTTTAGAAAAGCCAGATTGAGAACCCGAATTCTCGTCCTTGAGGACAAATTCCACTTTCCGGAAATACCCGAATTCTCGTCCTTGAGGACAAATTCCACTTTCCGTGAGAACCTCGGGAAACCTCGGTTCTCACGTAACTTACGGAAGCCTCCAAGGCTACTTTCTCTGCTAATCCTACTTGCCAAAATCTCGTCCTTGTAGGACAGTTTTCCTGTTCTCCAAAATCATAATAAACAACACAGTCCGGTTTCTGCTTTCGAGTGTGCGGTTACTCCAAGAGTTCGCGAGCGATTTTGTCGAGTGTCGATTTGAATCCTACGAATACATCAACGTTATAATAGGGTGTTCTCACCCCGGTCGCAGCCTGACCGAATTCCTGAGTTTCATTCAAAACTTTCATTCTAAAAATCTCTTCTAAACAGGTTCACTTTTCAACTCATAATTTGTTGGGTTTATTCCTGACAGGAAAGATGGCCCCTATTTTTCATGAAATGGGGGGATATGGAAACATTTTGAGAAGGAACCAGAGTGGGTTCAATAGAGTAATTTCGCTGCGATTTTTGCACTGCTTGAACTTTGAAAATACTTTAAAATTCTCTGTGGTCCACTCTGTGGATCGTTGGCTATGTTATCTCAAGTATTATTCTAATTTGCCCCCATTTGAAAAATCGATTACAAATGGTTGATCAGGTTCCCGATTGGGAATGACATCTGTTCTATGTTCCCGAAATGCTCCCTGGTGTTACGAGGCATCTCATTTTGAAAAATTTTTTCTTTCAGGTTCCTGCCCAATAGCCACAATTCCTATCGAATCACTTCATAACGAAGCTTTTTTTTAATGATTCTCAGTGGTTTCGTTGTAACAAGATTTTGTAGTATATCGAAACAATGCCTAAAAATATATACTGTATATATGTTCTCATTTCTTTATTCTTTTTCAGTTGATGATGTGGGAACTCCGGATTCTGGAATCGGAGATGGGATTTTCGTCAGCGCGGAGGAGAAAGCACGTCAGCATGAAGAGTGGAAANGTTTATTGAGGCCAAAGTGAGGAGGATTCGGGCCTGGAGGGCTTCCTTGAGAAAAGGTGGCCACTTTGTGTGTGTGTGTGTGCGTGCGTGGAATGGGAAGAGGGTGTTATTTTTTCAAGTGAAAAAGGGTTCAGATGTTTTGGGGGGATACTGTACAGAATGGTGTCCTTCCAGCGCGATTTTACTCTCTTGATGCATAGATGTCGCCTTAATCTGTTGTAAGTTGTAATTTCAAGGTTCTGGTAAAATACTTACAGTATGCCAAGGAAAAATATGAATTGAGTCTTTTTCGTCTATTGAGGCCAAAGTGAGGAGGATTCAGGACTAGAGAGCTTCTTCAAGAAAAGGTGGCCACTTTTTTGTGTGTGTGTGTGCGTGGAATGAGGGTTTTTTTTTTCAAGTGAAAAAGGGTTCAGATGTGTGGGGGATACTGTACAGAATGGTGTCCTCACAGCGTGATTTTACTCTGTGGATTCATAGATGTCGCTTGAATCTGTTGTTGGTTGTAATGTTAAGGTTTATTGTAGAGCAGGTTCCTTTTGGGATGTGGAGAACATCTGATATGCTTGCAGATTCAAGATTGATGGGGAATTGCAAAATCTGATAAAATTACCCATTAAGGAAAAATATGAATTGATGTTTTTTTTGCATTTATTGAGGCCTAAGGGAGGAGGATTTTGACCTGGAGAGCTTCCTTGAGAAAAGGTGGCCTTTTTTTGTGTGAGTGCGTGGAATGGGGGTTTTTTTTTAAGTGAAAAAGGGTTCATATGTGTGGGGGATCCTCTAAAGTCTACACTGTAGTCTGCAGGATGGTGTCCTTGCATTGCGTTTTTACCAACTGGATTCATAGATGTCGCTTGAATCTGCTATAAGTTGTAATGTCAAGGTTTACTGTAGAACAGGTTCCTTTTTGGGGTGTGTTGACCATATGATCTGCTTACAGATTCAAGATTAATGGGGAATTCCGAAATCTGGTATAATTACTAATTACAGTATGCCAAGGAAAGATATGGATTGAGGCTTTTTTATACCAAAGTGAGGAGGATTTGGGCCTGGAAAGCTTCCTAGAGAAAAGATGGCCACTTTTTTGTGTGTGCGTCAAATGGGGGCTTTTTCAAGTGGAAAAGAGGTCTTGAAAACGGTTCCAATGAGTGGGGATCCTGTTCAGAATGATGTCCTTACAGCGCGATTTTACTCTCTTGATTCATAGGTGTCGCTTGAATCTGTTGTAGATTGTAATATCAAGGTTTATTGTCGAGCAGGTCCATATGGGTTCTACTGAATATCTGATTTGCTTGCAGCCTCAAGATTTAAGAGTAAATACGAAATCTTATGTAATTGTTAATTAGGCTGGGGGGAAATATGAATGGAGGTTTTTTGACGTTTATTGGGGTCAAAGTGAGGAGAATTTGGTCCTGGAGAGCTTCCTTCAAAAAAATGTGGCTTTTTGGAGTGGAATGGTTGTTTTTTACGTTTGAAAAAAATTATTTTGAAAAGAGGTCAGGAGATGTGCGGGTGATCCCGTACAGAATGGTGTCCTCGCAGTGCGGTTTTACTATCTTGATTCATAGGTGTCGCTTGAATCTATTTTAGGTTCTATTTGAGTTTTAATGTGGACCAAGTCGTTTTGTATTAGGTTCAGATGATCCTCTGGTTTCTCTGCACATGAAAATTGAAGTAAAATACGAATTATATCGAAATGAGGCGGGGTAAAATTAATGGAAATTTAAAACTTTCATACTTTGGCCTATTTGAAAATAATTTGGGGTCCGAGATCTTTCTTGAGGAAAGATGGTCCCTATTTTTCATGAAATGGGGGATATGGAAACATTTTGAGAAGGAACCAGGGTGGGTTCAATAGAGTAATTGCGCTGCGATTTTTGCACTGCTTGAACTTTGAAAATACTTAAAAGTTCTTTGTGGTCCACTCTGTGGATTTTTGGCTATGTTATCTCAAGTATTATTCTAATTTGCCCCCATTTGAATAAAGGGTTGATCCAGGTTCCACATTGGGAGTGACATCTGTCTTATGTTCCCGAAATGCTCCCTGGTGTTACGAGGCATCTCATTATGAAGAATTTTTTTCTTTCAGGTTCCTGCCCAATAGCCACAATTTCTATCGAATCACTTCATAACGAAGCTTTTTTTATGATTCTCAGTGGTTTCGTTGTAACAAGATTTTGCTGTATATCGAAACAATGCCTAAAAATATATACTGTACTGTATATATGTTCTCATTTCTTTATTCTTTTTCAGTTGATGATGTGGGAACTCCGGATTCTGGAATCGGAGATGGGATTTTCGTCAGCGCGGAGGAGAAAGCACGTCAGCATGAAGAGTGGAAACAGGAGTTGATCAAAGTGAGTGTGTGAAATTGCTTCTGCCTCTTTCGAATAATAATAAAAAAAAGAAGTTGAGTCAATTGTAACGAGTACTCTTGAAAAAAAAAATTACATGGAGGGTTAGAGGGAGAAATAAAATTTAAAAAACGAATGAAAGGCGAGTGTGATTTCTAGAACTCGTCAAATGTTGCGAAATCGCGGCTGATTTTTATTTTGAAAATTTTTTTGCTTTGTGTTTATGTTGCTGTAATATTTTTCATGCTCTTACGTGGGGGTTTCCGGAAAGTTTTCACCTTTTGCTTCTGAATTATCATAAGAGTGGTTTTTTTTTTTTTGGTCCTGGAGAATTTTTTTTAAAGAATCTTGCATATAACGGAATTTTTTCTAAAGCTATTTTTAATCAGTGGACTATCTTTATAATGGGCTTTTTGTTATAACGGAAGCTTTTTTTCCTTGTCCCGATTTAACGTTTTGCTTTAACGAGGCTTCACTGTAGTAGCAGAATTTTTTTTCGATTGCCTCACATTTATTTTTTTTTTTTTATTTGCAGTCGACTGTATGAAAATTGACTGTTGCTATTTTATCTTTGCAAACGAAAATTTGCTTGAGCTTCTGAATTGAAAGCCAGCATTTTTCTGGTCCCATCAACTTTTGAATTTGACTTCGGAGTGCATATTTTTGTTATACAAACACGTTTTTTTGGGTTGTATTTCTATGATTTATGTAATTGAATCTAATGTAAATCGCTGTTTTTTTTATTCCTCTTCTTTTTTTTTTACATTTTCATTCGTCGATATTAACACGGACCAATGATTATTTTTGAATGATCAGCGTATTTTGGTCTTTCAATTCATTGCTGAATTCTTTCTTATGTGGTACTCGCATTTTTGCGGGATGAAAAAAAGCTGCGTAATTTATTAGCTCATCAACTTGATCAAGGTTTGGTGTTGACTTGCATTGCTGATTTCGTGTACCTCGAAAAATGTCGAATAAATGCTTTCTTTCGTTTATTATTTTTTTTGCAGACCGAAGAGGAAATTCAGACTTTGAGACAAGTACTTAATGCGAAATTGCGTCACGCGGCGGATCTCAAGCGCAAATTGGGGATCACTGCTTGGAAGGAATTTGCTGACGACATGAACAAGGGGATTGTCAGTGTCAAGGAATCCCAAGCGTGAGTCTCTTCATTTATTTTTTTCTTTGTGATGATATAACAGATTTTTTTTTTTTAACGTTTCTTTTATTGGGGACATATTTCTGACGTCCCTTAAAGAGTAGGCGTTTTTACTTTACTACGAGCCGAAACTACATTTACTACTCCACTTTATAAACATTAATAGATTATTTTTCGTTGTTTGTGACTATGTTTTTTTCTCAAGATTTTGTGATTGTCCGGAACTAATTGAATAATTTAAATTGATTTGACTTGAAATTTCAATTTATTATTTGGATAAAATTATCTGTTAACATTTTGTTCGCGAGCGTAATTTTGCGAAAAGTTTTGAAATTTTAATGTAGATCAAATTTAATGATTTTAAAGGCACGGAAAATAACCTGAACTTGGGTTTTTGTTGATAGAATATAATGCACACGTTTCTCATCAGTACCTAAAGTTAATTCACGCGAGTTCCAGATGATTTTGTGTCGCCAAAAATTCTGTGTTACATTCACAGGAAAAGTCCACCCTTTTCATATGAATAATGTTGTATGTTCTGGAATTTATTTACAGTATCGTGGCTTTAGCATTATTTTAATGAATAATAGAACCTTGAGCATTTTTGTGCTAATTGTGAGAATTATTGTGACAATTTTTTCTCCTGTGACAAAAAAAACAGGTTGTATTTATTTCCGGATTGAATCAAGAAATGCAATCAGCCCTTGTTTGCTTTTAATTCTTGCATTTCAAAATAATATTTGAGATTTCATTAAATGAATGGAGAATAAAAAATTATTTTGCGCATTTTTTTCTGACACGAATCACATTAATTTCAAAGTGAAGTTCAGCAAAATGGAGGCATGGAAACAGCCGTTATTTTCCGTTGATTTTTATGATTCGTGGACTTTGAAAAGATGCCATTAAATTAATTGAAATGGTTTTTTTTTTCAACCGATGGAGTTTTATTTTTGAGTGAATAAAGTTTATTATCACTTGATTATTTTTTCGGAGCTGAATTGAATTCCGCATAATTTATTTCTGATGTAAATTATATATTTTAATCATTTTTGCGGATGAGAAATTGTTTTTTTGAAGTTTTTGTTTCGATGCAGCACTTGAAAGACAGAGTAGTATATTCTAGAAGTTGTTGGATCAATGGAAAGGTCTCTCATGTTTTTTCATTTCATTCTTGTGTCACACAATTTTTGCTGCGAAAAAATGTTTCCTTGACGGTTGGTGTCTCAGGTCGAGACGGTGGTGGTGAGAGACAGCTTTTTTTCTTTGCATTTTTTTTCTACTGTACTTTTTTTTTTCCCAAGTACGGTAAAAGTATCACGTTTCGGTATTTCATTTTGGGTGTATGTGTTCAGTTTGCTCAGAGACACGAGTTTTTGGTTCATGTGACGTTTGTCTTTTATTTATTTTTTTTTGAGAAAGAAGGGTTTGTTGAAAAAGAGGTTTTGTTGCGCATGTTTGCACCGACAAGTAGAGCTGAGTTTGGACACGAAAAAAAAAAAAGAATCCTCTTTTCTTTTCGGGTTTCTCTGGTTTCTTCTGTGCGTGGCAGAGTGATGGGGGCGAAAGAGAAGATCGGCGGAGTTATCGACGTTATAAACCAGTCTCAGTTGTGAGTTATTCACATTTTTATTTTGTTTTTCAATTTTTTTTTAAATCCCTTGCCGAGAAAGAGAGGGAGCTTTTCTTTTTGTTTGGTTTGGTTTTATTCTTGGGCGCAATGTTGGTTTTTTGACGGTTATTTTTGTTGTTGTTGTTGTAGAGTAGAGAGGGTTTTATATTAACCTGATCGACTCGTTTTGGGTTATTTACATGTGCTTGAAGCTTTAATTGAGACTCTCTCAATTTATTTTGAATTGAATTACTGTGTATTTACGGATTTTTTTTTTGCTTGCTCGAGCTTATTGGATTCTTTGGCTTGAGTGTGTACAGTACTTGTATTTCCTGAGCTTGTTTCGTTTATCCGCTTTAAAATACATTTTTTATTGAATTGTATTGCCACCAATTCATTGGGACCAATTGAATAGCTTTGTTGCAAGAAAATTTTCTTCAAGAATCGCTTGTTGGAGAAAGAGAGCTTTTATTTTGGTTTGTTTGGTTTTCTTGGTTTTTTGATACTTGATCTTAATGTCGGGTTTTGACGTTATTTTTCGTTGTAGGGGTACAGGGTTTTTTCTGNCATCAACTTTTGAATTTGACTTCGGAGTGCATATTTTTGTTATACAAACACGTTTTTTTGGGTTGTATTTCTATGATTTATGTAATTGAATCTAATGTAAATCGCTGTTTTTTTTATTCCTCTTCTTTTTTTTTTACATTTTCATTCGTCGATATTAACACGGACCAATGATTATTTTTGAATGATCAGCGTATTTTGGTCTTTCAATTCATTGCTGAATTCTTTCTTATGTGGTACTCGCATTTTTGCGGGATGAAAAAAAGCTGCGTAATTTATTAGCTCATCAACTTGATCAAGGTTTGGTGTTGACTTGCATTGCTGATTTCGTGTACCTCGAAAAATGTCGAATAAATGCTTTCTTTCGTTTATTATTTTTTTTGCAGACCGAAGAGGAAATTCAGACTTTGAGACAAGTACTTAATGCGAAATTGCGTCACGCGGCGGATCTCAAGCGCAAATTGGGGATCACTGCTTGGAAGGAATTTGCTGACGACATGAACAAGGGGATTGTCAGTGTCAAGGAATCCCAAGCGTGAGTCTCTTCATTTATTTTTTTCTTTGTGATGATATTTGTCTAAAAAAAAAAAATTGCAAAGAAAATAACCCCTGTATAAAGACTGCAGGGAATTTCTCATCCGCAAAAATGAAATGATGCTCGGCTTTGATGTAAATGATGAGGTGAAATATTTGTAATTATAATTATTTTGCGTTGTGTGTGACTATGTTTTTTTCTCTCAAGATTTTGTGACTGTCCGAAATTAATGAAATAATTTAAATTGATTTTGACTTGAAATTTCAATTTATTATTTGGATAAAATTATCTGTAAACATGTTGTTCGCGAGCGTAGTTTTGCGAAAAGTTTTGAAATTTCAATATAGATGAAATTTAAATATTTAATGATTTTAAAGTTAGGGAAAGTAACCTGAACTTGGGTTTTTCGTTGATTGAATATAATGCACACATTTCTCATCAGTACCTAAAGTTAATTCACGCGAGTTGCAGATGATTTTGTGTCGCCAAAAATGTGTGTTACCTTCACAAGAAAAGTCCACCCCTTTCATATGAATAATGTTGTATGTTCTTCAATTTATTTGCAGTATCGTGGCTTTAGCATTATTTTAATGAATTATAGAACCTTGAGCATTCTTGTGCTAATTGTGAGAATTATTTTGGCAATTTTTTCTCCTGTGACAAAAAAAACAGGTTGTATTTATTTCCGGATTGAATCAAGAAATGCAATCAGCCCTTGTTTGCTTTTAATTCTTGCATTTCAAAAAATTGGAGAGATTTCATTAAATGAATGGAGTATATAAAATTATTTTGCGAATTTTTTTCTGACACGAATCACATTAATTTCAAAGTAAATTTCAGCAAAATGGAGGCATGGAAACAGCCGTTATTTTCCGTTGGTTTTTGTGATTCGTGGACTTTGAGAAGATGCCATTAAATTAATTGAAATGTTTTTTTTTCAGCCGATGGATTTTTTTTTCGAGTGAATAAAGTTGATAATTACTTGATTATTTTGTTGGAGCTGAATTGAATTCCGTATAATTTATTTCATGACGGCTGATGTAAATTATTTATTTTAATCATTTTTGCGGATGAGAAATGGTTTTTTGAAGTTTTTGTTTCGATGCAGCACTTGAAAGACAGAGTAGTGTGTTCTAGAAGTTGTTGGATCAATGGAAAGGTCTCTCATGTTTTTATTTCATTCTTGTGTCACACAATTTTTGCTGCGAAAAAATGTTTCCTTGACGGTTGGTGTCTCAGGTCGAGACGGTGGTGGTGAGAGACAGCTTTTTTTCTTTGCATTTTTTTTCTACTGTACCTTTTTTTTTCCCCAAGTACGGTAAAAGTATCACGTTTCGGTATTTCATTTTGGGTATATGTGTTCAGTTTGCTCAGAGACACGAGTTTTTGGTTCATGTGACGTTTGTCTTTTATTTATTTTTTTTGAGAAAGAAGGGTTTGTTGAAAAAGAGGTTTTGTTGCGCATGTTTGCACCGACAAGTAGAGCTGAGTTTGGACACGAAAAAAAAAAAAGAATCCTCTTTTCTTTTCGGGTTTCTCTGGTTTCTTCTGTGCGTGGCAGAGTGATGGGGGCGAAAGAGAAGATCGGCGGAGTTATCGACGTTATAAACCAGTCTCAGTTGTGAGTTATTCACATTTTTATTTTGTTTTTCAATTTTTTTTTTAATCCCTTGCCGAGAAAGAGAGAGCTTTTGTTTTTGTTTTGTTTTGGTTTTATTCTTGGGCGTAATGTTGGTTTTTTGACGGTTATTTTTGTTGTTGTTGTTGTTGTTGTAGAGTAGAGAGGGTTTTATATTAACCTGATCGACTCGTTTTGGGTTATTTACATGTGCTTGAAGCTTTAATTGAGACTCTCTAAATTTATTTTGAATTGAATTACTGTGTATTTACGTTTTTTTTTTATGCTTGCTCGAGCTTATTGGATTCTTGGCTTGAGTATGTACAGTACTTGTATTTCCTGAGCTTGTTTCGTTTATCCGCTTTAAAATACATTTTTTATTGAATTGTATTGCCACCAATTCATTGGGACCAATTGAATAGCTTTGTTGCAAGAAAATTTTCTTCAAGAATCGCTTGTTGGAGAAAGAGAGCTTTTATTTTGGTTTGTTTGGTTTTCTTGGTTTTTTGATACTTGATCTTAATGTCGGGTTTTGACGTTATTTTTCGTTGTAGGGGTACAGGGTTTTTTCTGTTGACTGATACTGGTTTATTTTCCTGTTTGTGAAAGTTAAATTGCGAAGATATTTAGTTTTTAATAAAATTTATGTTTATTTTCAATTTTTATGATTCATATAATTTAATTTGCTTGGTGGAACTTTTTGAAATGGTAGTTATCCTAATTCGAAAACTGATTCTTAAAAGTGTGTGGGTCCCTTGGAGAAGTACTTGAAGTGGTTTGATAGTATTTTTTTTTCAAATTAAGGACAAATTAGTTTGTGTTTAATGAATTTTAGAAGTTATGTGTTACATAATTGAGCTTGATTGAGGTTTTTAAATTTTTTATTAGTGATCATTCTCTAGATGCATTCCTTTTCATCCTGAACTTAACCTCTACTTTTTTTTTTAATGTTTCAAATTTTGTATGTAATTTGTGATGAAAGTGCTTCAAAACCTTTTTTGATAAAAATTCACACTTTCTGCGATGACTTACTCCTTTATGTTTGATTTAATTTGGGAGCTCAATCAGATAAATGCTAGGAACATTTATTCAATATATTTTTGGAATGTGGGATCTGTTAAATTGAGTGTTTTTTTATGATTATGAAGGGTATTCTCCTGATCTTCCTGACGTGGAATGAATGATTAGATCCTCATTATATGGGCTTGGATCAGTTATGGTATTGTACTGCTGTCGCATGAGGCGGGTGCTTCATAAATTAAATTTCTTGGTGACTTAAAAAGGAGATTTTTGTGGCTGATAGGGAAACTGAATTATGTTTGGGATATTTGTTCTGAGGAATGGATGGTTGTAATTTTTCTAGAAGTTTTTGGGGGGAGTCTATGTCAAATAAATTATTTAATCTAATAATTATATTATTCATTTATTATTATTTTATTTTGTCAAATTTTTTGGAGTGGCATACATTATTGCATTAAAGTTTCATTTTCAAGGTAGGAGGAGCCTAAGATTTTAAACATTTTTTGGATGAATGGGTGGAGCTTGAATGAAGTGTTTGAATACAGTAATGGTCAGTCTATTTTATTATGCATCTAATTTTATGCTTAAAATTAAGTTTTGAGGGGAGGAGCCCAAGTGTAACGCAATTATTTTGAAAAAATGGGTGGAGTTTATGTTGTCTCATGTGTTTAAATTGTCTCATGAAATTCTTGTTTTAGGGTCTGATTGTCTGCATCTAATTTCTTTAACAAATTGCAATTTAAATAAAGGGAGGCTTAAATTTTGAACACTTTTGGAGATGTGGGCGGAGCTTGTGAGGGGTGATCAGTCCCAGAACCTGTCTGCTGCTTCAATTGTCTAAAAACTCTGTGAACCCTGTGTCCATGACAGTCTTCATAAAGTTTTCATTTTTTTCTCAAGCTTCTGTGTGCATATTCAAATGAAGGCACCCATAAAACTTATTCCTCTCATGGGAGTAAAAGTGCTGGAGGGGGTGGGGAGGTCGCACAGCAGAGCAGTACTGGGCTGGTTTACAGTTATTGGCGCTGTGTTGTATGGGAGACGGGATCAGGGATCCCCTCTTTGCCTTGCGTTTCTTTGCAGGGACCTGCTTGGGTTGCCAAGTCTGAGCAGCTCTTTCTGACAAGTCAGGGTAGGAGAGAGAGAGAGAGACAGGGACACACACACACACACACCCGCAGAGAAAACGCCCCAAGACAGGGATCCCTGTTATCGATTGCTCGCAATCCCTTTTCCAGATCCCAATGCCCCCCCTTTTTCCAGAAGAGGGGGGAGGAGAACCTGGGTAATCTGTCTGTGCTGCCCGTACGTGCAAGACACCCTTGAGGGGGGAACGCTCGTTACCATAAGACTACCACTCCTTCCCTCCTCCCCAAATAACGAATGATATAAGCAGATTACCCCCTGCGTTAGAGACGCTGTAAATCCTACTTCGGAGGGGTATTATCCCCACCCTTAGAAGTGCCTAGTTACGATGGGATTCCGACGGAAATTTTTTTTAGCTCATTTTTGCATCCATATTGTGTCAAAGTTTTTTTTTCTGGGTATTAGTATTCAAGGAGTGCAATTTCAGGATATTCCATTGAAATTTAATTTTTCTGATAGAGGATCTAGAACAAATAGAAACTGACAATTGGATCTCAAATTGACCCTGTCCTTAATGATTCCTGTCTCAAATTGTCCCTGTCCTTAATGATTCCTGTCTCAAATTTTCCCTGTCTCAAATTGTCCCTGTCTCAAATTGACCCTGTTCTTAATGGTTCCTGTCTCAAATTGTCCCTGTCTCATTTTGTTGGTCACCATTTGTCCAGTCTCAAATGGTTTGTCCTCATTTGTCTGCATCCCCCTGATTGATTAGTTTCCTTTTATGGGAAATATTTTGAAAGAGCACTGTTTGAAACTGTAAAGTTTTTTCAATTGCTTTTTGGCCATTTGGGATAGACAGTAATCTGATTGAAAAAGGAGGAGGTTGACCAAAGTCAGGACTTGGAGTTTGATTTGTCAAAATGTATTGGTACCTTAAGTGATTTTAGTAACATTATGGCTCAAAGGCAGGGAGGAGAGAAAGTGATTTTTTGAAAGCAATAATTGATTATAATGAGATTGGTCCCAACAATCTGCAATAAGTTTTACTGTACAGTAGAATCTTGTTGCAACAAAGTCATTGGGTCACCTAAATGAAAAGCCTTGTTATAACAAATAATTCTGTAAGTCAGGTACCTGGAAAAAATAACTTATTTACAGGTATAGTGGGACCAGTTGTAACTAAACAATCTGCTGTAATTCCATTTGGTGAAATCAGATTTACTGTTTGGAACTGGACTACTTGGAAACATATCTCAGGCCTTCCATAATATCCATTTATTTCTCAAGTATAATACAATTGGTGGATTTTTTTCATTTTGTCTCAACTCAAGTGTTGAAGTTTCAGAGTTAATGTGATGAGTACTTTTTAGATTTTTCAGTTTTTCTCCCAAATGTGTTCAAGTTGGTGTGTACAGTAAATTACTGCAGGAAGGCAAACTCAATACAGTATAGATTTTAATTGTTTTTTAATTTAGCCTTGATTCAAATACAGTATATTTTCAAGTCATGTTTTGTAAAAAAAAAAAAACATCTGAAGGGATCCTCCTGATGGAAATTTTTTTACAAAATGCATTTGAAAATAAATTTGACCTGTACCTTTTTTTACACCATACCAAAGCTTCCAGGAAATGGCTTCTAGGAGTTCACCAGGACAATTGAACTTGGTGGGCAAATTTTCTTATCCAACCCCCAATCTTACCAACCCCCCCCCCTCTTGTTACTATCCTGTGAGACTCTCAACTACTGAGCGGTAAAATAGAATAAAGGCAGAGTGAGACGAGAAAAGGACTCAAAAATAAATATATATCTGGACGACCCACACTTTCACCTTCACTCCCCACCTAAAAACACCCAAACTCTCACTGGGAAGGTGAGGGGGGTGGCTTGTGTGAGGGAATTAAGCCTGGGTCGTTTTTGCCTCCAGGGACCAGTGTGTGTCTGTCCTGGCTGTGGTGAGCATTGTGTCTCTGGTGGCTTTCCATTCATTGGGAGCAAATATTTTTGGGATGGTATCCTTGTGTGAACCATGATGAGAGATGTACTCCACATGGAAAAAAAAAAAGTGTGGGGGTTTACTTTATAAATGGGGTTGCAATTTTGAGAGATATAATCAAATAACTGGAAAAATACAGTATTTTGAGAATGTGTGTGGGAAGAAGTACATCCCTGAACATTCTTTGTATACTTGCATTATATTCATTGGTAGAAAATGTTTCATGATGGTTCAACCATGATGAAATGCACTCAACATGGAAAAAGTGTGGGGGTTTACTTGATGAGTGGGGTTGAAATTTTGAGAGATTCTGTGATCACTGGCAAAACATGGTATTGTGAAAGGATGTGTGTGTTGTGCAGGATTTATATCTTCAAGTTGAGGATTTGTGCCAAGAATTCAATATAAAAATGAAAGTAACTGAAAGAAAATAGATTTAATTTGAGATATGGGACAAGTACATTCCTGGTCATTGTATCTATAGTTACTTTGTGTTCATTGATAGCAAATATTTTGGGATAATGTCCTTGTGTCAATCATGATGAAGTTTTCTGAACACTAGAAAAGTTTGGTCCTTAATTTGATATATATGTGTTTGAAATGTTCAGTGAAGCAGTGCAGAACATGTGGTAAGCATGTACAGTAATAATAATGCAGGATTTTCTGTACTTTGCCTTTCAAAAGCAAAGTTGATCATTTGAGACAGGTATGCTGTCCTAATTTGTTTCTTGACAAATAATGAACTCTTGGGAAAAGGTCCTTCACATGCATTTGAAGCTGAAAACACAAAATATCTGTATATCTTGTGGCTTTCCATTCATTGGGCAGAAATAGTTTGGGATGGTATCCTGAAGTGAATGAGGCAAAGCTTGGGTCCCATTTGATAGACATTGTCAAAAGTTAGTTTG